TCTCATCAGCAGTGTATAAGTGTTTCAGTTATTCAACTCTTCCACCAACATTTAGTATCCAAAATTTTTTTTAATATTTATTTTTAGGTGTAGATGGACACAATACCTTTATTTTATTTGTTTTTATGTGATGCTGAGGATTGAACCCAGGACCTTGCACATGCTAAGCAAGTGCTCTACCACTGAGTCACAACTCCAACCTCCCAAAATTTTTAATTTTACTCCTTCTAGTGAGTGTAGAGTGGTTATCTCATTATACTGTTAATTTTAATTTTATCAAATGATTTGTAACAATGATCATCTTTTTATATACTTAATTGCTATAATTACAGAGTACCAATGAATAAACAAAAAAGATATGTCATCATCACAAAAATACTCAACTAACCAAAAAGATAAAAGAGGGAAAATATGAAACAGAAAAAAAAAAATAGGAAGTATTAATATCAATAATCATTAAGTACAAATAATCTAAACACTTCAATTAAAAGGAGAATATTGCTAGACTAGGTATTATTCAATTATCACTGAATGAAAGAAACTCCCTTTAAATATTAAGAGAGTAATGGGATAATGGTAATTGAATGGGAAAAGATACCATATTACTATTAATAAAAACTGTGTTAAAAAGGCTACATTAACTTCAGACAGAGTGGATTTAAGAATTAAGAATATTATAGGAAAGGAATAAGAATGTTACATAATGATAAAGGGATCAATCAATAGAGAAAATAGTCCAAAATGTATATGTACCAAATAACAGAGCTACAAAACATATGAAGACCAAATTGATGTAACTACAAGAAAAATATTGACAGAGTCACATATATGGGATGAAACTCCATCCCTCCTTAAATACAAAACAAAACTATTTATCAATAAGAACTCATTGATATTTATAGAACACTCCATTCAACAATAAAATATATATTCATCTGAGTACCCAAAGAATTTTTACCAAAAATGGTTATATTCTAAAGTATAAAAGAAGTCTCTGCATATCTAAAGGGCCTCGGGTCACATAGACTATATTTGACTATATTTTCTGACTAAAATGAAATTAAATCAACAACTAATAAGTGTCATAACTGGAAAATCCCCAAATATCTGTACACTTCAAGACAAATTTTTAAACAACACAGGGGTCAAAGAAGAGATCAAAAGAGAAACGAGAAAGTTTTTTTAACTGAATAAAAATGAGAGCACAATATATCAAAAATTTTAAGATATAGCTAAAACTATGCTTAGAGGCAAACTAATGATACTACAGTAAACATGCAAAGAAAGAAGAAAATTATTATCTGTGCTCTCAACTTCTATATTAATAAATTAATAAAATCTGAGGATATTAATTGAAAAGGCAAAGAAATTAAATACTAAATGTAAAAAGCACAAGTAAATGAAAACAGGAAAAAACACAAACTCAAAAATAGTGAAAGCTGCATTATTGCGAAAACCAATAAAATTGCTAAATCTCTAACCAAATTGGTAATGAATATGAAAGAGAAGAAACAAATTACTAAATTCATGATGAGAGAGGTGATATTTACTACAAATTTTATGCATATGAAAAGGTAATAAAAGAATATAAAAATTTCATGATAATAAGTTATTTGCACTAAATGAAAAATTTCTTCAAATATACAAGCCAACAAAACTTATTTAAATGAATATATACACATACATATATGTACAACTATACATACATATATACATAGGCACATATACACACACGTATTCACATATGTTTGTGTATGTACATACATGTATATGTATGTATATGCATATGTATACATATATTCCACCCACATCCCATGTGGGCAGTGGAAATGGGGTTCCCCTGGGTAGAATGGGCTGACTAAGAAATAAAAGGTAGAAAAAATAGGACAAAAAAAAAAAACACAGGACACAGAAAGTAGTTTCAACTACAGGGGCAGGAAAGGCAAGCTGATCTGATCAAGCTTCTATACTCTGGCAAAATGGAGCCTGCACCTGCTTTATTTATATTGGGAAACATCAAAGACTTTCCACAGAATGTTCTTCTCCAAAAAAGGTTAAAGGTGGGCTGTCCAGTTCTCAATAGGTTGCGCCCATCTCCAGAGCAACTATGAGGTATATATCTTCCTAGCAAAAAAGAGATTAAGGTCACATGCATTGGGCAATGTATTGTCATAGGAGTGCCATGATAGTTCACAATGCCAAACCTAAATCTCCCTGGCTGAGAAAAGACCTTCAAGTAATTCACGGATGGCTTCCTACACATATAAATACCCAATTCTGGATTTTTCATTCTCATTAAGAAACATCCAGGATCAGGGAGCTTTATGTGAAAATTCTACCAGACATTTAAGAAAGAATAATATCAGTTCTACAAAGAATTGAACTCTTCTAGAGAATTGAAGAAGGATGGAATACTTTCAAAATCTGTGAGGTCCTTATGATTCTGATACCAAAATCAGATAAAACTACAGAAAAATGTTCACTATGAACATAGATGCAAAATTATCCTATCTTATTTTTTTTGTAATTTATTTTTTTATTATTTCTTATATACATCACAATAGAGGAGTGCTTAGTTTTAACATGTCAAATTCAAGTACATGTTTATGGACATATGACTAAATTGATTTTCATGCCAGGAAAGCCTGCTTGGTTAAAAATTTGGAAGTCAAACAATGTAATTCTCCTTATTAACAACTGCCAAAGATCATCTGAACAGCTCAAGAGAAGGTGTTTAACAAAATACACAATCCCTTTCTGATAAAAGCACTGAGAATACTAAAGTTAGAGGTCAAATTCCTCAAACTATAAGGAGTTCAGTTGGTTTATTACTAGGTTGGAAAAATCCTTTCCTTATCTATGGAGATACTTGTTTTATGACTCTTAAACAAGGCAATGTAGTGTCTCAGGTGTACTTTAGTGTACAAAACTCCAGTAATGATGCAAAGTCTTTTTTTAAACTGATATTTGCAATTAGTTTAACCACTTTGACAAGTTTGATTGGAGATACAGCAAGGTACATATGTAATATATGAGTGCAAATAGTTGCCCTGCAAAACTCTGTGAAGTATTTCTCAGACACCTGATAATACTTACCATGAAAGACCTAATGCTATTACTCTAAGGTCAGGAACAAAGTAAGACAATTTATCTCATTTTTTTCTATTCAACATTATACTGAAGATTCCAGCTTGTGGAATCAGGTTGAAAAGAAAACAAAAAGCAATCATCTATGTAGAAAATCCTTCAAACTCTTCAAAGAAAACTATCAGAACTGATGAATGATTTTAATGAGGCTACCAGGCACAAAATCAGTATACAAAATTAATTATACTTTTATTTTACTAGCAGTAAACAATTGAAATTGTAGATATAATACTGTTTATACTATATAAAATTGTTAAACATCTATGGAAAAATCTGATAGATGGGTAAATCCTATACACTGAAAACTACAAAACATACCTAGAACATATTAAATATCTGTATATGTGGAGAAATGTCATGAATTCATTATTTTATGAAAATATTGTTAACATATCAATTTCCTGAAAATTCATTCAATGCAATCCTAACTGAAATTCCAGAAGTTTTTGTTGTGGATATTGACAACTTTTTTTTCCTGAGATTTATACAAAATTATGGAGAATTTAGAAGAATGAAATATCTTTGAAAATGAAGTTTGTAAGACTTCATGCTACCTAGTTCAGGATTGTACAAATTTTATAATCAAGAAAGTGAGGTAATATTATAAACATAGACAAGTCGATCAATGGATTAGTCAATAGGTATTACAGATCAGTTCACACAGTTATGGAAAACTGACTTCTTCCAAATATTCACAGGAATTTCAAAAGAGAAGGATAAGCATTTCAATATATACTACTAGAAAAATTCAACAACAAGCTATATACAAAATGATAAACTTCAATTCTTGCTTCATGCTATATGCAAAAATAACTCAAATAGATTATAACAACTAAATATAAGAATTATAAGACCATTGAAGAAGACACAAGAGAAAAATCTTAGTGACCTTGAGGTTGACACAGAACTTTATCATTATCACACACACACACACACACAAAAAAAAAAAAAAAAAAAAAAAAAAAAAAAAAAAAAAAAAAAAAAAACAGAAAAAGCTCAGGAAATTAGCCATCAGAGAAATTAAAAATGTTTACTTTTCTAAAGAGAGTGTTATAAAACAAACAAACAAAATATTTGTAGGACATGCATCTGAGAAATAAGTTGTATCTAGGATACATAAAAGTTTCTAACTCAATAAAGAGATAATTTTAAAATGGGCAAAATATTTTAACAGATTCTTTTGTTCTGATTTTTATATTTTATGTTGGTAAGGCCTGAATAGCCTACATTTCTTGGGCCTCTTAGCACAATTGTAGCTGATAAAGATGTCTTAAATATGTCCAAACTAACACAGAATGATTTAAGTGAAATCAACTACCATAAGGTTTTATGTATTTTTTGCATTCTTTAGGAAAATAACCTATGGATATACTAATATGGCACTGGCTGGCTCCACAATGCTCTGTCACTGTTTCTTTTGATTTGGGTGCCTTTCTCTCTGGTAGTCTAGACATAGCCTGTTTCTTAGACATGTTTATAAATGGATTAGGAAGGTGGTCTAAATACAGGCATCACTGAAACATGAAGCATCTTTTTGTTATAGAGTGTTGTTATTAAGAAAAGATTCCAAAGGAAGGCTTTTGGCAATGAATCATAGATTCTGACAGATGTTTTCTACAGATGAGAGCTCAGCTCCACCTTTCTCAAAAATGCAAGTTTTAGGAGAGGTCTTTCTTTCCAAACCCCTGGGAAATAAGTTGTACTGTGGACTATGTTTCCTAAAACCACTCCTACCATTGTTTGAAATCCAAGCAAAGGTCTTTTCTGGTACATAAATGATTTTGAAACCTTAAAATTTTCAGCATAGTTTGCTCTTAGATTCAAACAGATCTTTTAATATAAAGGACTGGGATGCATAGGTTTGAATTTATGGCAGGCCTTTCCCGTCAGTCTCATAGTGTCCCATGCCAGAGCAAACTGGCCCCGAACCATTGTCTGGCCTCTGAGTCTAAGGCTGCTGGCACTGAAAGGGGTTGCACATTGGAAAATAAATAAGTAGATAAATAAAGGACTATGAAAGGGGAGGACTAAGAAAACTCATTTTCCTTCATGAATATAAAATTCTGGGTGAAGACAAAGCTAATTGTGTCCCAAAATATGGAAGAAGCTTTAGAAATTACCTGATCCAATCTCTCTATTTTATTGAATAAGAAACTGAGACCAGAGCAGGTAGATCCTGGAGCCAGGAGCAGAAACCACAAACCATGATCTGCTCCTAGTCCAGTGTTCTTTCCATTACGCTTTTCAAATGACGGGAGGAAATAATCTCTGACAACATAATGAAGACCACTTAAGTAGGTCAAATAAATTGCCCAATGTCACATAGCTAGGAAGTGGCAAAGCTGGGACAAGACTCTAGATATCCAACACTCCAACACCCATTAATTTATACTATTCTACTGTAATTTTTTATATTCCATATAAAACAAAATAAAATTTATTTTTATTAAAATATATTTGAATTTCCTAAGATAAACTTTATGTTTTTGCTCAACAATATATTATTTAACATATCATAAGTACACAATAAGTAGTGGTGACTCATTCATTTATGTACCCATATTGATTGGTTTGAACATATATATTATTTATCCTGAATGTGAACCAATGATGTACTTAAGGGAAAAAGGACCTGTTTCTTGATTACAATTCTCAGGTACCAAGAACTAATCTCTGAAACTCTTAAGTAATATCTTTTTAAAAGATGTCCTGAAGAGATCAAAGAAGTTTCTAGTTGATCTGTTTTACCCACCAAGAAAGAGATAGCAGAAATAAAAATAAGAGAAAGGCATTGCTTTATGCTATCGTAGGTCCATGGCCATAATCAACTCTATATATTGATTTCATTTTCCTGAAGAAATATTTGGCTGATAGTAAAGTAAGAAAATGAATGGGGGAAAAATTCTCTTGTTTAAGTAAATTTATCTTGACTCCCATAGTAATTTGGGATTTGTTCCTTGAGCATTTCTCTCCAACTATAAGTCCTCAATTTCTATTTTTCTTTTAATTCCTCAGCTTCATTTTTTATGTCATAGTCACTGGGGCTGAAAGTATGGCTCAGTAGTAGAGAACTTGCCAAGCTTATGCAAGGTCCTGGACTCAATCCTTAGCACTAGAAAAAAAAAATTACAACACAGTTACTAAAAATCTGACTATGGACTATAAATCTAGTCCCAAATTCCCATTATAGCCCCTATTATTCTGAAATCAATATGAAGTTCAGACACAATGTTTTGTTGGGAGACAACACAGTATACTTATTCATATATGCTGTTCACAATATGCTAAAAATTGCCTGCCTTAAAATAGACCATATGAAGAAATATACAAAAATACAACTTATGGCAAGCATAATCTCATTTCTCTTATTCTTTTTAAATACTTCAATTTTGTCTTCTAGGTAGTTTGAAATTGTATTTAACATACTGCAATAATTAAAAATAGTACAAGGTTGATGTATTCTTACATGTTTTTTAAGTCTAGAATGCATGCTTTATGAATTTGTTGAATTATATGTGAATTTAGGTAAACTAAGTCTCTTTTTCCATGTAGTCTTTACTTATTGTATAATCTTTAAAAAAAGAAGAAGAAACCAACAAGTTCATGGTTGCTTTAATACATTTTAAGCATTCCACATACAATTATTTCAAGTATACAGTTTAAGATTCACTCAAATAGAGGAATAAACTTAACTAATCTTAATAAAATACCCCCAAATAAAGATGCCATAACACATTAATAAACAGTAGATCTTTTTTGTAATACTGAGAAAAATTTGGGAATTTGTATAAAAAAATTAAAAAGAACTACTTTAATAAGTGAATAAAGGAAAAGAAAGCACAAATTAGCATAAGAACTATAAATATCAGGCTGAGGTTGGGGCTTAGTGGTAGAGCGCTCGCCTAGCACGTGCGAGGCCCTGGGTTCGGTCCTCAGGACCACATAAAAATAAATAAAGATATTGAATCCAACTACAACTAAAAAATAAATTAAAAAAAAATAACTATAAATAACCAGTAAACTCACAGTAAACACCTCACAAAGAGGTATATGTGATTATTAACCTGATAAAAGAATGTTATACTTTTTTACATAACTACTTAATTAAATTAAAAAACTGGTACCATTCAGAGCTTACAAGGACATGGTAAAAAGTGCCTTCATATATATTTGGTGTGCATAGACATAGGTTTGGAAAGTAATCTGTAAATATGTTCATAATGTCTAAATTTGTATACTCTTTGCCAATAATGCAACATCTAATAATCCATTTTCTCTGGTATAGCTGCCTAACCATGAAAGCACATGCATGCACATGCAATTAATCATAGACTCCCATTCAAAAGAATAGTTGCAAAGAATTTAAAGTTACAATGTTAATAAACAATAAAATGAGAGAAGGAATTGCAGAAAAAATACTACAGAACTACTATTTAGGCTATCATTTTTTAAAATATTTATTTCTTAGGTGTAGATGGATACAACACAATGCCTTTATTTTTATGTGGTGCTGAGGACCGAACCCGGGTCCCGCCCGTGCTAAGCAAACGCTCTACCGCTGAGCCATGATCCCAGCCCATCATTTTTCTTTATTAAAATTACAAGTTGAAAAAGCAGGACAAGACTGGAGATATAGCTCAGTGGCAGAATGCTTGCCAGCATGCATAGGGACCTACGTTCAATCCCTGGTACCACAAAGGAAGAAAAGAAATAAGGAAAAAAGTACATAAAGAAAAAATGGTAGCAAATTGTCTACTAACCAATATATGTATATAAATATATTGGATCTTCTAAATAAAATGAAGGTATTCTGAATATGAAGAACTCAAAGAAAGTAAGTGTTTGGACTGTGGCCAAGGAATAGTTAGCTCCACTAGAAATAGCTGATCTCTTAAAACTAGATAAATATCTGTGATGATGTCCCTTTGGAAATCAAGGTTACCTAGGGATAGTTATCAAGTTGATATATTGTAAACTGAGCCGAATATTGCACTAGGAGGATTGGGTATATCAGTCAGGAAGTCAAAAATCCAAGAGATGAGAAGGCAAAGTCTGAAGAACAAGACAAAGACACAATGAAATAAGCTAAAATACTAATTTGAGGTTAACTTGCTGAACTAAATGCTCAGGAGACTTGACAATAACATGACAGAAAGACAATTCACTTGAATAAGAAAGATTTTTCTCACATCTTTATTCACAATTGCATTATACCACTAGTAAAAAGTAATCATTTTCCTTTCCTTGTCAAAAAATATGGATGCTCTCCAAGTTGTCTTTTGCTTCTCAAAAATCACAGATAGTTCATTTTTTTCTCTTTTACCAATTTCTATGAACCTTAACAACCATAACTCAAAACCACACGTTGTTATTTCAATTACTAAAATAATCTTGAGCCTTTTCTTCCTTTTTTTTGATCAACCCTCTACAGAAGTGTCAAGACATCTTTTTCAAATTACGTTTTTCTTATAAAGTCTAACTCTTCCCAAGAATACCAGCTGTGATGAAATATCCTCTCTCAGGCAGCCCCACTCCCAGACTCTCCTTTCTCAGATGGTGTTCTTTGCCACTAGCCTGGATAAATTTCCACTTCTTCATCTCCATAAATTAAGGAAAGTTTTCCTTTAAGTATAATAAAACAGAGTGATTAAGATCATGGGTCTAAAACAAGACTCAATTGATTTTAAAATTTAAATACATTATGTTGCAAATATACAACTTTGGGTTGTAAAGTAACCACTCTAGGCTTAGATTTCTTTCTTTCTTTCTTCTCTCTTTCTTTCTTTTTTATTTTGGTACCAAGAATTGAGCTCAAGTGTGTTTAACCACTGAGCCACATCCCTAATTTGCTAACCCTCTCTCTTCCTCCTCCTCCTCCTCCTCCTCCTCCTCCTCCTCCTTCTTTTTCTTTTTTTAGACAGGGTCTCAATAAGATGTTGAGGCTGGCTTTGAACTCAGGATCCTTCTGTCTCAGTCTCCAGAATCACCCTGCTAAGCCTTGATTGTCTTATCCATAAAGTACCATAATCATATTTCTCATTTCATAATGTTATCATCCCTAGCTTCTTGTTGTTGTTGACAGAGCCTGGCACATAAATGCTCCTAAACATTTTTATCACTTTCATTGTCATTTTTAGGAATTTTAGCATTTTTCTTTCATTTTTTAACTGTTTCTTACCAGTGTATAAATGTAGACTTCTAAAAATATTCAAAATATTTTTGTTCATTTAAAAAATATTACAGTGTAAATTACATAATAAGAAATAACTTACTGGTATGAAGTGATGCAGAATTTGACGTTGACAATGCTCTCCTCATGTTTTGAGCTCTGTTTTTTTCCCCATAATGTATACATATATTTCTTTCCATAGTCTGTTCTTCTAAGTGAAAACCCTTCCTCAAAACTTTATTAATCCAAGGCAAAAGAAATTCAGAGCACAGATTAAGCTAAATATCTGTGCTCTGGAATATTTTATTTTTCTTCCTTAACACTATTCCTGGTTAAGAATGGTATTATTTTATTGAACTAAAATTCACCAAGGAAAAATGAATGTGTCTAATGAATAAAAGGGAATCTCACCTACTGACTCAAAGGAAGTATAGCTGGGATTCCCAGGAACTAGAGTCAGCAGGTGGCTTTTCTCTCCATTTTCTCTCTGACACTCATTCCCAGGCATACTTATTAACTGAAAACTCAATACATTTTATTTGAAATCTGATTTATCTGTTTATTTTTATTTTAGGCATAGCTGAAATTGGCCATCAGCCTTTGGAATATATAACCTTAAGATACCTGGGTCCAAAAATCCTCCGAATATCACTGGGACTGTTAAATTTTATAGAATAGGATTAGCCTTACACAACCAACAAATTGAATAGCTTTAAAGCAAATGTGTGTCATTGTCCAATCAAAAATGAACAGAGGTCTTAGATCAGTTGCTCATTAGCAGAATCCATGGGCCACAGCAAATTCTCTGGGGAAA